CCGACCGTCCTAGTCGGCAAATTTCAAATGTCCGCTATTGATGTGGCGCTACAATATTTGGCTATGTCTTGGCTACTTTAATATTATTTTTGTGTGTTTTAGCTGGCAACACTGGATCGACCATGAAAGGGAGCCAGTATTTAAACGAGGCTTAACTTTCTAATTTTTAACGATACAATAGCGATGATTATTATTTTAAAAAATTTTTGTTAGGCTTAACATTGATGAAAATTCAATGCAAAGTAGGTTAATAGCGATATACTGATATACTAATTACATGGGATATAATAATATACTACATTAATAATAGATTTTTTCATACTTTTCGGTTATCCGCCCTTTCAATTATCCGACCAACCCCAGTCCCCAATTAGGTCAGATAATCGAGGCTCTACTGTATTTAATTTTTTATAACTAAATTAACCTTAAGTTAATAGTGTCTGAGAATTTCAAATAAACATTGAAAGTCGTTCTATTTTCAAATGAATTTTTTTCTCTCTCATAACAAACGTGGTATTTAAAATATTTAAATAAATATTTATATAAAATATCTGTTAATAAAGTTTACATTTTAAGGTTTACAGTAAATCTTCAAAATATGAAGAAAATATTAAAAAGAAATATGCTATGGTTATAAATTGCTTAATTTAAATTTTTAAAGAATATTTAATGCAAATTATTTTTATCTATTTATTGATTAATCAAATTCTTGCATTTAAACTAAAGTTTTCTTTATTATTTATAGTTAAACAAAGAAGAAATTGGCATAGACATGATTTTGCTGATCCTGATGCAGAAGGAAAGGTAAAGATATGAATATTTAAGTTTTTAAATCAATTTTAAATAATTAAATAGCTTTTTGTTCATTTATTTGGCATCACTGATATTTTGACTATAATAATCATAATTTCTATTGCAATGATATTCTTGTGATAAACATATTTTGATAGTTGTTTTATTGATGCTCTGGCTCTTATCTCAGTCCACATTAATTTTTTAAATCATCATACAAAACCTTAAAGCATATCATTATTTAAGTTTTATTTAGCATGATGGAGTTGATGTGAGCTATTCAGAGCTTCAGTCAATCCTGTCATGTGTAGGTGATGACCATGCACCACGCTCGAGTCTGACTCGAGCATGTCCCATAGCATTACGAAAAACCGGTTTTGTAGGCCCTCCTGGAAATTTTTTTTTTTTTTAATTTTTGGAATGTTTTTGTCTCCAAATTTTTTACAAAAATTTTTTTTCATGCGAAAAAATTTTATCACGATTTTAATGAACCTTTAATGACCCATGATTAACACTTAATTGTTTTTTATGGGATTTTTTTTATCAAATTTAATTAATCGTTTTAAAGTTGTAGTGCACGGATTTTACTTTGGTAAAGTTATTTAAAGCTAGTTTCTGATATTAAAAATGATCTCCAATAGTTTAATTTTTTTTATTATATATGAGTTTAATTAAATTGGGGGGTCGGAAATCGCAATAAAAATTTTAATTTTTTAAAAATATTTAAAAATATACGGCCAGCTAGTATTCACCCTACTTTAAACCCTTGTCCTCCCGAGACGTCTATGAGAATGCCCCGAAAAATCCGACACCAGATGTTCTTAAGGTCATCCAGCTGTGTAAACAATGACTCATCAGTGTCAAATTTTGCAGAAAGGCGAGACAAAGGAAGTTAAACTTTGAAGCTTTTTCTTCAAAATTAATGCATTTCTTTTGTTTTTTTTTTCAGTTTTAAGTATTTTTTATGTTTAATTAAAGATTTTTAAAAAAAAGTAGGCAAGAAGGGGTTAATCTGAATGATTGGTAAGATCTTTGAGTTAGGATTCTTGACACCCCAAACTAAGACACGAGCAAAATTATAAATCTGTTTCCAGAATTCATAGGAGAATCTATTTTTAAATGTGAGTGCAATGTGGAATTAGGCATAAGGAAATCAAAAGAGATAATGATTAATATATATACTTAATATATGTATATATATTAATCATTATCTCTTTTGATTTCCTTAATATATATACATATATTAATCATGATCTCTTTTGATTTCCTTATGCCTAATTTCACATTGTTTTATATTATTTTTAACATATCAAAGGAACAAAACTTCTAATTATAATCAGTCCTTAAAAAGGAATGAATTCAAATATCAACTTACTAACTGATCTATATTATCTTCAGAGAGAGAGTTACATAAATATATATGAGGCATGTCCAGAAAGTAAGTACCGTTTCATTCTACTGCCACTGCAGCAGTAGTATTGCAGCGCCTGTGCACACGTATCTCTGGTTGATTGTCAGTCCAGTGATGCCATTATAACTGGATTGTGTTGTTTTTTCCACATGTTAGTGAGTGTTTAAAATGTTTAAGACAATTGTCGATCTCGCTGACTGTGAAGTGCATTCTGTAATACAGTTGAAAATATAGTTCACTTCACGCCAGCCTTTAGAAATTAAAATTATGACACTTACATGTTGCGGCGTTATTGACAGCGATTTGTTAAATTTCAGATATGTTCGCTGAACATATCTGAAATTTAACAAATCGCTGTCAATAACGCCGCAACATGTAAGTGTCATAATTTTAATTTGTAATACAGTTTTTGAACGCAAAGAAAGCACGTCCACCAGTTGAAATTCATCGTCAACTTGTAGAGATTTATGGTGAAAATGTAATGAGTGATGGAATGGTGAGAAAGTGGGTTCGCCAATTCAATGCTGGACACACCAATGTTCGTGACGTAGCACGGAGTGGCTGGTCTTCTGTTGCCAATGATGGTTTGGTTTCAAAAGTGGATGAGAAAATTCTTGAAAACAGATGGTTCAGAATAAGATTGCTTTGTGATGAGTTTCCATAAATTTCAAAAACTCATCACAAAGCAATCTTATTTCAAAAACTGTTTTGCATGAGATTGTCACAAATTGCTTAAATGATTGCAAATTGTGTTTCCGTTGGGTTCCCAAAATGCTTACAGATGTCCAGAAAATGAAGCGACTTGGAAGTGCTTTGACATTTCTTACCCAGTACAATGACGAGAGTAATGATTTCCTAAACAAAATTGTTACCGGTGATGAAACTTGGGTTTGTCATGTCACTCCGGAATCAAAACAACAGTCGATGGAGTGGAGGCACTCATGGTCCCCCACAAGACACAAATTCAAAACAATGTTGTCAGCACGAAAAATCATGTGCACTGTGTTCTGAGACAGACAGGGCATTCTGCTTGTTGAGTTCCTTCCCAGAGATGAAACCATCAATGCAGAATGATACTGTTAAACATTGCGAAAACTTTGCCATGCAATTCAAAACAAAAGGTGTGGAAGTCTCAGTAAAGGCATTGTGTTGCTTCACGACAACGCACGTCCCCATACTGCTGGTGTCACTCAAAACCTTATTCAACAATTCGGTTGGGAGCAGTTCGATCTCCCACCATACAGTCCCGACCTTGCACCTGCAGAATACCATTTGTTCTTGAACTTGAAGCATGATTTTGGTGGGAGGTGCTTTGCCAGCAATGACGACACAACAAGTGATGCTCAGCAGTGGCTGTCTTCACTGGTGGCATCTTTCTTTGAAGAGGGTATAGACAAGTTGATTTCCCGATATGACAAATGTCTGAACAATGGTGGTAACTATGTAGAAAAATAGTTTCCAACATGCTCTTTCATGTAAAAATAAATTTTGTTTTGAGAAAAGATTTTTTATGCGAGTTTTTCCAAAACGGTACTTACTTTCTGGACACGCCTCATATTACCTTTGTTTTATATGTAGTTTTCTATGTTGAATGTCTGCAAGGAATTTCTACAAGGAGCTGATATACAAATGATTTCAAAGACTGTATGGTTGAAGCACAGAGAATCAAAATTTTTTTTGTGAATGAACGGGAATATTAGAATGAAAACGTTTGTCTTCTAAGAGATCAAGGTTATAGAGGAGCTGATCTTGCCTCAAGGAAGGTCAAGATTTACTGAGAGGAGCACTGTTATTTGGAGGTGACCTCCCCTTTTAAAAGAAAATCTCCTCCAATAAAATTAGTTAAAATGTTTTCCACACTTCCTATGCATGACAGAAATTGAGTGGTTTTTGCAGTGGGACTCCTGAAGTCCCACGCCACAATATCACTTTTGAGGGAAGTGATATCTCTTTCTAACAGAAAGGAAGAACAAACAGAAGAAGTTTCCTTTTTCTCTTTTGTGTATTTTCATAAAAACAAGTAAAATTTGACAATTGTTTAAAATAAATGGTTAACAAAAATCTGTTAAAATTATAAAATCAGTTACAAATGAATCAGTTTTTTTTAACCTAAATTTCATTTAAATTAATCAATTTCAGATTCTCACATTGCTAAACAAATAGTCTGATTCTGGCAAAGTTAAAATGTGTTACTTTGATTCTGACTTTTTAAAATGTCACACTTTGATTCCTTTTATATGAAAGATACCACTGGGCATCTGAATATTTTTATCTAAAATTTCTCTATAAAATGTTGTACTAAAATTTCTGGTGAGAATCAAAATATGAACGTAACAAATTTATCTTGGAAGAACTTTCAAGTACATAATAAAAACTACATCTTAAATACAAAAATACAGATTAGTTACCAAAATAGTTACCATTTGCTGGTTAATAATATATTGATTAACTGTTAAATTGAAATAAACAATGTACTAAAAAATCATATTTTTAATGCACATGAATGGAAATGATATACAAGTAATTGAGAAATATAACAATAAAATAAAAATAGCCAATGGATTAATGTTTTTATCTATTCAAATTGATGATTAAAATAACGCATTACTTTTAATTCTGTATACATTAGTTTTTGTAAAAGTGCACAATGAATGGAATAATAAACTGAAATTAGNCTGGAGTATGGATTTTAAGTTCATTATTATATAATAGACTTAATTTGTGGTTGTAACCTCCAGTACATCGTTACATCATTAGTGAAAGGGGGTGAAGCCCGTGCTACTCGGCGGTATTGCATGGGAGGAAGGACAAAGGGAAAGGGTGAGGAGAGAGTAGAAGGTAAGGGGAAGTGTAAAGTAGATAGGAAAGTTGGTGAAGGGAGTCATGAGCGCCTGGCGCCGCAATTATTTGAAATAAAATAGAAATACAGAAGACGTAAATACATAAGATTACAGATTGTACATAGTTGATGAATATGCCGAAAAGGCCGCTGGCACTGGTAGAGAACGAGCCTAGCGCCGAGAGTCGGTTACTGTGGAAGATGTTTACCCGCTGGAAAATTGGTGGGTTGTCCACAACCCCTGCAACTGGGGGATGCTCCCCGCAAAGTCCTTAAAGTCCGCAAAGAGTCTTTTATTCTCAATAAAGTCTTGAAGATGGCAGGGCCAGTTGAGACCCTCGCTGAGGGCCATGTCCCTGAGAGGTTTCCTGTGGGCTGCTAGGTCGCGGCAGACGAAGATAAGATGGAAGGGATCATCACCTCCCCCATCCCACAGCCACAGAGCCCGTCGCCCTTACCCAGGAACCTCCGCAGGTAAGAGCCAAAGTTCCCATGGTCCAACAGCAGCTGGGTGAGGAAGTGATCCATGGAAAAATGCCGGTTCTTTATCCTGTTCTCGATGATGGGGATGAAGCTATGGGTCACTCTCCCAGTTTTGCTGGTGTCCCATTCCTTCTGCCATAGTCTGATGAGGGCCTTGTGGATGGCCGACCAGATGTGAGAGACGGGAATTGCCGCATAACTGTGGCTGCTGGCAATCTAGTTAGCCTTCCTGGCGACCAGGTCGGCCCGGTCATTTTCCGGCACCCCTGAGTGCCCCCG